GATCAGACGCAGGGTCGGGTGACGGAAGGCCGAGCAGGCGAAGGGCTGACACCGGCGGGGACGGCTGCTGCGGTGGCGCAACGGCGACACCTGGACCGCAAGCTGCTCCTCGGCTACCACCGGCACTCTCCACACCAGCACCCCCAGAGGGGCCACCCCCAGGGCGACCGGGACGAGCACCCCCAGAGTCAGCGAACGGGGGCCTCGACGGCGGCGGCGGCGGCGGCGGCGGCGGTAGCGACAACGACGGCTGCAGCGGTGGCAGAGGCGGTGGAGGAGGGGACTGGGGAGGGGACACCGGGGGAGGGGCAGCCGGCGAGGACTGCACAGGAGGGCCACTAGAGTCAGAGGACTCCTCAACCGGGTCCGCCGACGGAAGGGGGGTGACGTGGGACACACCAGAGGGGGCGGGACGGGGAGGAGGTGGAGGAGGGGCAGGGACTACCGGGGAAGGAGTGACCAGGAATAGGGGGGGGGTAACCGGGGGACCACGGTGGGGGAAGCGACGGTAGTAGGAAACGGACTCGTCAAAGGTGACGTCGCGAGAGTGAAAGAAGCGGTGAGACGGCGGGTGGTAAAAGTGCCAGTCGGACGCGTCAAGGGGAAAACCGAGGAAGACGCAGGGAAGGGTGCGACAGTGAGCTTGTCCGTGCCGGAGGCACGAACGTGAGCAAGGCAGCCCCAGACGTGGAACGCAGACGCGTCACCAGGAGACCCAGTCCAAAGATGGGTCGGCGAAACCTGCGGCTGCTGAGGGTGCGGCCACAAGTTAAGCTGGTGAGAAGCGTAGCGCACAGCGAACGGCCACAGAAAATGGGGTGTACCGGCATGGATCATGGAGGTGCGAGCCACCTCCATGTCCAAACCGATGCGTCGCTCAGCGACCCCATTCTGCTGTGGGGAGTCCGGTAGGGTGAACGTCTGGGTGATGCCCTCCGCACGACAAAAGCGACCAAGGACACCTAAGGCAAACTCGCCACCACGGTCTGAGTGAAGACGCAAGACAGGGAGACCGCGGTGGACACGCGCAGAGACAAGCCAGGGGATAAGAGCGCCAGGCACGTCGGCCTTCCGCTCCAGGGGAAAGACTGTGGTGTAACGAGTGAAGTCGTCGACGAGCACAAGTAAGTAGCGCTCTTGACGCGGCCCAGGGACGGGGGCGGGGCCCCAGACGTCCAGGTGCAGGGTCTGCAGCGGCGCGGTGGTAAGGGGAAACGAGGAGGAGTGAGGGGCACGGCGAAGCCGACCCTCGACAAAGGGCGTGCAAGGGGGGGCGGGGGAGGAGGGAAACGCGGGGAGAGAACCTGGGAGACCAAGGACAAGACCGTGCTGGGACATGTGACGCAGACGCGGGAGCGCAGGGTGACCTAGGCGGTGGTGCCAAAGGAGAGTCGGGTGAGTGAGGGACCGACAGGAGCAGGCAGCAGCAACCTGGGTAGACGCAGCCACCTGAGGGGGGGCCCCAGCCGGGGGGGTCACGGTGTCCAGAGTGAACAGGCCGGACACCGGGTCCCGGGGGAACGTGGACAGGGGGGCACCAGTGGCGGCCTCGGTACAGACAGCATACCGCTCGTGGCCAGGGAACGTAGTGGTGACGCCAAGGTCCTGGAGGCAGCCGACACCAACTAGGTTCCTGGAGAACGAGGGGATATGCAGACCTGTGAGAGAGCCCGAAGGAACCGCCGGACAGGGAAGGGTGGTGGAACTGCGGGCGACTACCGGACCACCAGAGGGGTCAGCAAGAGAGACGGCAGCAGGAACAGGAAGCGGCGTCAGGGTGGTGGAGTCGCGGAAGAAACACCGAGAAGCGCCAGAGTCCAAGGTGAAGGAAAGCGAAGCAGAGGCGTCTGGCGTCGGAACGACGGTGGAAGCACCAAGACTACACAAAGCAGAGGATCCTACGCCTGACGCAGCAGGGGAGGCTACGCTAGACACACCTATGCTAGGCAACAGTGAGTAATAAGCTGGAAGCACACTAGAGTCATCAGCATACATCACATGCAGAGCAGAAACAATGGCATCCATGTCCATATCAAAGATCTGAATCTGACGACTAAGCAAACTGTGCCAGTCCGGGAGGTCTGGCGACGGGCCGAAGCGCTGACGGAAGAGGTCGTCCAGGCGACGAAAACAGCGGGGAGTGGAGTGACCGATCTTACCGCAAACGAAGCCGCGGCGAGGACCGGTCTGGATCTGGTACTGACAACGCACGCCGCCAGAGCCACCACTCGGCACACCACCACGCGCCCGGCCACCGCCAGCACCGGGCCACCCGGGCGGGAGGACACTCGTCTGCCGTGTCTGCGACGGCTACTGCGAAGGCTGCGACTGCGGCGGCTGCTGCGGCTGCTGCAACTGCAGAGGCGGCGGCTCAGCTGGACTGGGCAGGGTCCCCTCGTCCGCTCCAGCACCAGACGACCCGACCCCACCACTACCCCCTCCCGCACCCCCGCCTCCGCCGCGCCCAACCTTGGGGCGGCGGCCCTTCCCCGAACGGAACTGCGCTGAAGCAGCAGTCTCAGCCACTGCGACAGAGCCGTCGGAGAAGGTACACTGAGCGGGGGCACAACCCTGAAAGATAGGGACCGGCACGGCACCGCTCGCCTGGGCGATGGAGCGGTGACGGGTCTCTATCACAGTTAGGGTGTCTACAAAGTTAGTGAGGGTGAGTTCGGCGGGGTGAATGCTAAGGAAGTGGTCGCGGGCGATAGCAAGGCGGTCAGGGAGGCGGGTGGCAAGCAGGTAGAGGGTAGAGGTAATGGGCGGCTGGTGGGCTCTAAGCTGTGCGTCAGTGCAGGCAGCGCGCCAGGTCTCATCTATCGAGCGCAGGTGGGCAGCAAGGTCAGAGACAGTAGGGAAGGATGCAAGGTCAGGAAAGAGCATCGGGAGAATCAGGCGACCCACCGAGGCAGCCGGAGGAGTGGAATAGCGCTGGATGACAGCATCTAAGTATGCCTGAGCAGTGGTGAGGGACCTAAAGCGAGGGCGCTCGGACGGGGGAAGGGCGTTGCTAATGGCAAGCTGGGCGACAGCATCGCGAGAAAGCCAGACAGAGCGCGCACGGGCAGTGGCAGCAGTAGACTCGCGCTCGGTAGGGGTGGAGTCAGCGGGCAAAATAGCAGGGGGGTCTGGGCAGGGGAGCGTACCGTCAAGGTGTGCGGAAAGCGGTTCACCATCCTGCCGCTGGCCAGTGAGTTGGCGGCGGAGGTCGGCAAGCCACGCCTCGAACTCCAGAGGCTGGCCTTCAGCGTCGAAGCGAAGCTCCGCCGCCATCAGGAACAGCGGTGCAGCAAGGTGCAGGGCAGTGCAGCAAGGTGGGGCGCGGTGCCGTGCGGTACAGTGCGGTGCAGTGCGGTGTAGTGCGGTGCAGTGCGGTGCCAGGCAGTACAGGGTGGTGAGGGGCGGTGCAGTGCGGGGCAGGACGGTGCAGGGCAGTGCAGGGCGGGGGGGGGGGGGGGGGAGGGGGGGAAAACCGTACCAGTGAGGAGGACCGGGGCCGGGGCAGGGACGAGCGCAGGGGCCGGGCCGGTGCAACGGGGCCGGGCGGGTGCGACGGGGCCGGGCCGATGCAACGGGGCCGGGCGGGCGCGACGGGGCCGGGCTGGTGCGACGGGGCCGGGCGGGTGCGACGGGGCCGGGCCGGTGCGACGGGGCCGGGCAGGTGCGTCGTGGCCGGGCCGGTGCGACGGGGCCGGGCCGGTGCTACGGGGCCGTGCGGGTGCGACGGGGCCGGGCCGGTGCGACGGGGCCGGGCAGGTGCGTCGGAGCCGGGCCGGTGCGACGGGGCCGGACGGGTGCGACGGGGCCGGGCGGCTGCGACGGGGCCGGGCAGGGGGCGACGGGGCCGGGCGGGTGCGACGGGGCCGGGCGGGCGCGACGGGGCCGGGCTGGAGCGACGGGGCCGGGCGGGTGCGACGGGGCCGGAAGGCGTGACGGGGCCCAGGAGGGGGGGCTCGACGCGGCCCAGGAGGGGCGCTACGGGGCCCAGGAGGGGCGCTACGAGGCCCAGGAGGGGCGCTACGAGGCCCAGGGGGGGCACTACGGGGCCCAGGAGGGGCGCGGCGGAACCCAGGAGGGGCGCTACGGGGCCCAGGAGGGGCGCGACGGGGCCCAGGAGGGGCGCTACGGGGCCTAGGAGGGGCGCGACGGGGCCTGGGAGGGGCGCGACAGAACCCAGGAGGGGCGCTACGAGGCCCAGGAGGGGCGTTACGGGGCCCAGGGGGGGCGCGACGGGGCCTGGGAGGGGCGCGACTGAGCCCAGGAGGGGCGCTACAAGGGCCCAGGGGGGGCACTACGGGGCCCAGGAAGGGCGCGACGGGGCCCAGGAGGGGCGCTACGGGGCCCAGGAGGGGCGCTACGGGGCCTAGGAGGGGCGGGACGGGGCCTGGGAGGGGCGCTACAGGGCCCAGGAAGGGCGCGACGGGGCCCAGGAGGGGCGCTACGGGGCCTAGGAGGGGCGCGACGGGGCCCTGGAGGGGCGTGACGGGGCCTGGGAGGGGCGCGACGGGGCCCAGGAGGGGCGCTAGAGGGCCCAGGAAGGGGCGCGACGGGGCCCAGGAAGGGGCGCGACGGGGCTAGGGGGGTCGCGACGGGGCTAGGGGCACGACGGGGCTAGGAGGGGCGAGCGGAAGCGATAGGTGGGGGGGGATCCTAACCTACGCGTGATACCATAACAAAATCAGAGAAGTGTTAGTTGATAGAGTGAGAGTACACACAGATATACCTAAGTCTTGTACCCTCTAAGAGATGACCCTATACAGTCTATACAAACATGACAATTACACATGTTTGACACAGGGTTGCATGTTCCAGAACACTGAGAAATCAGGGAAGCCAAAATTTCAACACAAGGCCCTCAGGGTAATTTTTTTTTCCATTCGACAGCTTAGGGGGCTTTTTTTTGAAACGTCAGCCCTGGTCTCATCCCACCTGCCGCCAAGTGCCCAAGGGTGCCCCACAACCAACACAAGGGCACCTGCTGCACTATTTGAACACTTCACTGTAACCCTGGTCGTGTATTGGAAGTGTGTTCTTGTCATGAGAGTGGAGACTGGAACACAAACATACAACTCTGTGTTACATCAGGGACTGCCTATGCATCAGATTCCACTGTTGGAATTTGAATGCTAGTCCCTTCATACGAAGGTGGTACACTATCTTTATGAGTTGTGTCGGCAGACAAGCGAGGCAATTGCTGGGGCAAGTAAGAGGTGGTTGTCTGTCTATGTAGTGGCTTGGAGCTAGAAGCAGTGGCATATGGAGGCATGCCTGCATTGGCAGGAGCAGCGTTAATGGATGCAATGGCTGTTGAAGCTGAGAGGAGCGTGCGCGCTGCAGACTCGGTCCACTGTATACTACCAGAACTGTCAATACCGAGCCGATCAGAATCATTATATGGATGACAGAGGGGTTGGAGGGAGGCCAGAAGAGGGGGTTGGGAGCAAAGTAAGAGTTCAGTAGAGATCATATGGTGCACTGAAGTGGTAGAAAAAGGAAGACGCAAAAGACAATTCCCGTAAGTGAGCATCATCTTTCAGACATGAGCTCACTCACCCACGACACTTGCCGAACTCGCTGGCGATTCTAGCAGCAGCCGCCTTGGACAGGGTCGTCTTGGTCCATGTCCGAGCGCTCTCCTCACTCCATGGCTCCACGTTCCGGCTGCTGCCGTACGCATACACGAACACTGGCTTCAGCTGCACACCGGTTTTGGAGTGGCGAAGGGAGACGTCTTTGAGCGAGATCTGCCGGCACGGCACGTGGTTGCTGCACCGCAACTCGATGCCGCCCACGGCGCTGCCATTGGTGGTGCCTCGGATGCGAGAGTAGGAGACGTTGAAGACAGCGATGCCGCTGTGCCCGTCGTCACACGGCTCTCGCTCACAGTAGTACTGCCCAACGCAGAGTGGCGACCGGGGGGGGGGGGGGAGAGGAGGGGGAAGGGGGGGGGGGAAGAATGACATTGGGAGGATACATACATTGCTAATGTGTCGACTGAAAGAGAGGGAGGGATAGCACAGCGGCTGATAGCAGCAGCTACATTGCTCTTTACTGAACCTAAGCCGAAACAACAGGCAGCAAGACCGGCATCAGCCGGCCGGCAGTTGTGATGGCACCAGATGAGTTGTTGCACAGCAACACTAGCACACGCTGGGGTGACACACGCAGAGGACGGACCTGGTCGATGATGATGGGGCGTCCCACGTCCAGCATGGTGACGTTGTCGTAGCGTATGTTCCACACGGCGCCCTGCCCCGTCTCGTACGTCTTGATGCGCAGCCCGTTCTGCAGCCCTGCCATGTACACGTGCCGCACCGTCACGTTGTGCACACACGCCAGCGCGCCGTAGTTCCCAAGGCTGCCGATGCTGTGGGGGGGGCGAGAGAGGCACGGACAGGAGGAGGGAGAAGGCACTTAGGGGGAACGATACTAAAGCAAGTAAAGGAAGGAGGCAACTAGGGAGAGTTGGTGTAAGAGAGTCTATTTTTGAGGCGCCAAAAAAATTAGGGAGAGTTGGTGTAAGAGAGAGGCTTATGCGTGGTGTTGTTGAATCTCATCAAGGTGGGCGGGCACGGCTTGAAAGGTGGTAAAGCAAGTGCTTGACATGGTGAGGCTGCTAGGGTGGGGTGCCATGCGGAGGGAGACAGCAGCCTGGGGTGCGCAATAAGCGTGAGCGCGAGTGAGATGGTGAGCGCGAGTGAGATGGTGAGCGCGAGTGCAATGGTGAGCGCCAGTGAGATGGTGAGCACGAGTGAGATGGTGAGCGCGAGTGAGATGGTGAGCGCGAGTGCAATGGTGAGCGCGAGTGAGATGGTGAGCGCGAGTGAGATGGTGAGCGCGAGTGAGATGGTGAGCGCGAGTGCGATGGTGAGCACGAGTGAGATGGTGAGCGCGAGTGAGATGGTGAGCGTACCTGATGCCGTGGCCCGCAGTGCAGATGACGTTCTGAATGAGGATGTTGGACGAGCTCCCCACTATGGACACGTTGTCGTCGCCTGCACTCACATGCACGCACATGCACACACATGCACACACACACGCATGCACCACACACGCATGCACCACACATGGGTTACAGTGCCCAGCGCATGAATGGATAGATAGCGACCACTGCATACACTGGATAATGCCATGCTCCTAACTCTGCAGCACAGTGCTGCTTGGGTCCGTGCCTGGCCGCCCTTCCTTCTCTACCATCCCCCCACACCCCCCACTTCCATCCATCTCCATCCCCCCAAAGCTTCCACCTCTGCCCCCCCTACCCCCCCAACCTCATGCGTGCTGGCCTGTGCTCACCGCCGTGCAGCGTGCAGTCCTCGATGAGCACGTCAGTGGAGAAGACGATGTGGATGCTGTCCGTGTTGCCGCCGTTGTACGGCGTGCGCGTCTCAAAGTCATGGATCCACACGCGCGAGCAGAACCGGATGTTCAGATGCACCTTCGCTGGGTTGCTGTGGGGTCGTTTGAGGGGAATAGGGTAGGGACGAGGGGCGGAGGGAAAAGGCGGGAACGAGTAGGTTTTTGTCAAGGGAACCGAAAACTAAAAAGAACAAAAAAAAATGCTTCAGTTGATTGGTCGAATGACAACAGCAAAGACTGGAGGTGGGAGCTCAGAGACCTGTATTTCTGATCCATGCTGGGCCAAATCCGTCCTGCACTTTGCCTCAGCATGGTGCATGCTACCGCACCTGATGGTGATGCCAGTGACCTCGGCGTCTGTGCAGTTCTCAAGCTGCAGAAGGTACGGCCTGCGTGCGGCGCGCGGCCAAATGACGTAGCCCTGGCCGTCCATGGTGCCGGTGCCCGTGACGAGCAGGCGCGGGATGGAGAGCAGGTTGATGATGGGCGTCAGGTACGAAACGCCGCGCGGGTAGCTCCATATCACGCCGTCAACCTGGGGCAGGGGAGAAGCGCGGGGGAATGGGAACTAGGGAATGTGCGAACAGGTTTGGAAAGAGCAGATAGGTTGGGGTGATTCGTGACTGGCACAGGGTGTACCGTGAAACAAACCCTGGGAGCAGGGGCACAACAACCCCCACGCAGATCCGCAGATGCAGAGAATGGAACCCCCCCAGCTGACCTTGAAAACGAGTCCCCCGCTCCTGCAGGGCCCCCGCCACACCACATTGCGCCCCTTCATGAAGAACGTGTAGCCCTTGGGGAACAGCAGCGTGGCGCGCCGCCCCTGCCGCCCCTCGTACTCGCACGCCCGCGCAAACGCACGGCTCATGGCGTCCGTGTCGTCTATCACCCCGTCCCCCACTGCCCCAAACGCCCTCACGTTGAAGACCCCTTCCGGGGAAGGGAGAATGGGCGGAGGGGGAGAAGGGGGCTTAGGGGGAGGGGGGCGTGGGGGAGGGCGGAGGGGAGGGGGACGGGGAGGAGGGCGGGGAGGGGGCTGACGTGGTGGGGGGCGTGGGGAGGGCGGGGAGGGGGGCGGGGAGGGGGAGGACGGGGAGGGGGGCGAGGGGGACGTGGGGGGGTTGGCGGCGCTTGGGGCGAGGAGGTGGGGGTCGAGGGGGTGGGGTGGTGGGGAAGGAGGGGGGATTTGGGTGGGCGCGGAGGGGGTCTGGGCGGGGGAAGGGGAGGTGGACTGAGGCGAGGGGACACGGGGGGAGGGGATCGAGGTGGGGGGGAGAGGGGAGGGGGCGACGGGGGGGCTGTGGGAGACTGGGGGGCTAGGACGGGTGGAGGAGGAGGAGAGGAAGGGAGGGGAGGGGAGGGCGAGAAAGCGGGAGGAAGTGAGGATCCAGAGGTGTTGGCAGGACGAGGAGGAGCAGGAGCAGGTGGGGGGGGAGCAGGGAGAGGCGGTGGGAGATTGAGGGGAGGGTGCCGGCGTTGGGGTTGGTTGCGAGGGGGCGAGGGGGAAGGGGGAAGGCGAGCAGGTGGTTGCATAACCGTTACGGGTGAGGGAGCGGGAGGGGAAAGAGGAATTCGAGGGGGAAGAGGAGGAGAAGGCAGGGGAGGAGGAGGACGGGGAGGGGAGAGAGTCAGAGGAAGAGGAGGTGGCGGGGAGGGAGATGAGGATGGAGGAGGGAGCAGAGGAGGCGAGAGTGGAGGCGAGTCGGGCGATCCAGGGAAGTACACGCCACCGGGCGGCCCTTGTGTGCCGTTGCTGCTGCTGCCACTCGTGCCATCGGTGCTGCTGCCTTCCACTTCTGGCGGTATCGGGTTGGCGTTTCCCCTCGGAGGAGGGGGCCGGGGAGGAATAGGAGGAGGGGGCGCAGGAGGAGGAGCGATGAAGAGGGGGGGTCTGGGTCTCTTCCTTCCGCGCTTGCGCCTCCTGGGTGGAGGTGGGGGCGGAGGAGGGGGGGACGAGAGCGGACGAGGCGGAGGAGGGCGGGGGGGAGCAGGAGGCGGGAAGGAAGGGGGCGGCGAGGAAGGAGGATGTCGGGTGGGTGAACCAGCAGCCTGCTTTGGCGGTGGTTTCTTGCGGCTCCTGGGCTTGCGTGGAGCCGGTGGTGGTTTCTTGTGTGGTGCCGGTGGCTTCTTCGGCTTCCCTGGGCTCCTCCTCGTCGCTGGGGGCGGTGGACGGTGTGCAGGGTGCTTTCTCCCTGGTTTGCGGGGCGAGAGGGCGATGAGGTACGGGCGGTCGTGGGCGAAGGGCAGCTGGTCGTAGGACAGCTGGTAGTCGGCCTCCGCTAGGGATCCGGAAGGGGCACGCGGTGGCTTTCTCTCAGGAGCTGCCTGTCGCGTTGGTGGGGGCTTGGTACCACGGGGCTTGGGAGCAGGGGGCTTGGCCGCACGGGGCTTGGAAGCACGGGACTTGGGAGGGCTGCCTCCCGACACCTGGGGTTTAGGAGGGCGAGGTTTAGATAGGTGTAGGCTGCTGGGTGCAGGGGACTTGGTACGCCGGGAGAGGGGAGAAGGCGAGGTGAGAGGGCGAGGTGCGGGAGGCCTGGGGCGGGGAGTGGGAGGTGCGTTGGGGCGGCGCTTAGAGGATGCAGGGGAAGGGGGCCAGCGGAGGGAATTGGTGAATGGGGAGGAGGGCGGCAACAAGGGACGGCGCGAGGAGGAAGACACAGTGCGGCGGGTTTTGGGGAGGGAGAGAGGGGAGAGGGGCGGATGGGTATGGCGGTAGCGCTTGGTTGAGGAGGCTGGGGAGGGATGGCGTGCAACAGTGGCTGAAGCAGTGGTGGCTGAGGCAGTAATGAGAGGGCGGTAGGGAAGCTGTGGCTGGGGGGAGTGTGGAGGTATGTTTCCAACCTGTGGGAGGTGGGATTGTGATATATCTGGGTGCAACGAATCTACAGAGGCGATGGACGCAAGGACACCATGTGATTCCTCTGCGCCCGGCTCGCCCTCCTGCTGCTGCTGCTGCTGCTCCGCGTCCCCCCCCTCCTCCAAGCCCTCCTCCCCCTCCACCCCCTCCTCCTGCTGCCAGAGCACAACCCCTCCATCTCGTTCTGCTTGCCGCGGCTGTGGCAGCTGCAAAGGCAACAGCAACTGTGGCGCCCGTGAAGCTGGTGGGTGAGCCACTGGCGGGTGTGCCACTGGTGGGTGCAAGTGCATGTGGTGCGGCAGCAGAGGGGCCTCGCCTTCCTGCCCCTCCCCCAATCTGCTCTCCTCCATGCCTCTCCGCCGAGCTAGCATGGACGAGGGTACTTGGTTGGGTGACAGGGCGATGGGGTGTAGAGGTAAGAGACTCCAGGGAAGGGACGAATGAGCTCGGGCGTCTGGGAGAGAGAAGGAGTGGAGAGCCTGGAGGGGGTCGGACGAGGTGGAAGGGAAGAAGGGCGAGGGGCAGGTGGGCATACGGTGTGACGTGGCGATAGGTGTGTGGTCGGGGAGGGAGGGAAGAGAAGGGAGGGAGGTGGAGAGGAGGGAGTGGGGGGTGGATGAGGGAGAGGCCGAGCGGAACGAGCAGTCTAGCTGGTGTGGCAGAAAGGACTGAGCTAGAAACGCATGAAAGCTATCTGGTGCCGGTGGGGACACTGCACGAGGAGGAGGCGCAGTGAGAGGAGCGGGTGGGGGGTAGAGCGGTAAGACGGCACGGGCTTGCATTTGCACATGCACAGCAAATGGGGCTGGGCCTTCTGACTGCAAGCCATTCTGCTCGGGGCCAGGCGAGGAGGAGGAGGGAGGGCTGGGAGGATACATGGTGGTGGTGCCGTGCTTGCAGTTGGGGAGGGGAGTGTGCGTGCAGTGCGGCGGGCGGAAGAAGCAGTCCGGGTGGGGCAGGCAGGACGAGAGGGGCAAGGGGCCATGGCCGTGCCACATGCAGGCGTCGAGAGTGCAGGGGTCGTTGTCATCACATGGCTCTGGAGAGGCACGGAGCAACAAGTGGCAAGAGTTGGGAGATTCAGGGAGCATGCAAGAGCACACAGAGCTGGACAAGGTTCAACACTGTAGAAGAAATGACTAGGCGGTTGGTAGTGTGGGAAGCTCATGGTATGCAGCAAGGAAGGAGGGCAGTGACCTGGGAAGGCAGCGAGGATGGCGCAGGATGCGCTCAGAAGGAAGCGGCAGGAACCAGAGAGGTGCAATGCGGTGCCGTGTGGTGCCCAGGAGTCGTCCGAGGCAAGAGTGCTGGGAGGATGAGAAGGGGGGAACGAAGGGGAGGGAGGGAGGGTGAGAAGTGAGAGGGTAGGAGAGCAGAGGGCGCAGAACATGGAGCAATTGAGTGCCTCTCAGCCATCGCAAGGTCGTTGAAAGCATTCATGCATAGCTCACCTTACTCTGCTGCAAGGGAAAGACAAGGCCCTTGCGTGAAAGGACTCCTTTCGGACGCAAGGGATGAGGGGGAGGCGCAAAACGGGCGGACTACAGTGAATCGTACCCATGTGGAGAGTGTAGCGTGATTCCTTATGAGATCATCCCTCGGCCGGCTCTACCTGCTCGGTTCGCACCTGATGGGATGGTACGGCTCGTATGAGAAGGTGCCGGTCGCCCCGTCGAATCTGCACACCGCCCTGCTGCTCTCCGCGGCCGCTGCTGATATGGAGAGGGGACGGGACGAGGTACAGATGGCACGGGACGCGTCGGCGCGGGAGTGAAGAGGAAGGAGCTACAATCGCTGGACAGCGCGATTATAGTGCTAGTATCGTGGTGAAGGCAGCGAGTGTCAGGGTACGATTGGGCTGTCTGACATGACTGGGATCAACGGCCATTCGTACGAAGAATATGTGGACACCAAAGCTGCTTGAAAGCGCGACGAAAACTCGGCAAACTGATGTCGAACGGAGCAGATTCGAAGATAAATTCGCCTCCACTCACCCGCACCGCGGCTTGACTGCGGATCGTCCCTTCCCGCGAATAAAGCCGCGCGCGTGGTGGCGCTGCCTACGGCGGGTGGATCTGGTGGAGGCGGCGAGGCGACGCGGTGTGCGGAATAGTGGAGGAAGAGGAGGAGGAGAGGGACGAGCAGACGCGCGGTTGAACAGAAGCGCTCCATGGCGGAAGCCGCATCGGGGCTCTCAGGCGTCAGCCCGACTGATGCTCGATTGAGGAGTGTTACGAAGAGCGAGCGCTAAAGCACTAAGGGCTCGCCGATGCGGGCCATCCAACAGCTTGATGCCGCAGAGCCCCGTAGTGTAGATCCGAAAGACACGCCGAGCGTTGTAATAAGGGCAAGCGACATAGCTTGTATCGAGGTTGGCGGATCTGCGGAACCTAAATCGACTCGTCTCTCTGGCCTGCACCAACTTGCCTCCAATGGGCTCGCTCCTGATAGCAAACTACTCCTGGCCTCCGCTCATAACTAGGCCTGCACCGATTTGCCTTCAAGGAGCTCGTGCGGGAACCTGCTATCGGACGATGGTCGGTGGACTTACGCAGTCAGATTTGCATGAAGCGCAGACTTTTCGCTCCATACCTTTTGGGGGTAGACATTTGAGCAGGCCGCCGCCATGGATGGATACTGTTCACTGCCTTTCCTGTCCCCGCCATGATTCACACCGACCTTGGCAGTAGTCATTCAGGTAAAGCCGCGAGAAGGGAGGGCCACAGATCTTGCTGCCACTGCGCGCTGGGTGCGGCAAGGAGACATCTACGCCGTTGATCCGCCGTGGATGTACTTCAAGGCAAGATCGAGGTGACAGGTTGGCGGAATCAGAAGCGCGGCTCGACCTTTGGTTCGGAAGTCTCGCTTCTGACTGGCTCGTTCACCTTTCGTTCAAATTCTTGGTTCGAGCCGAACCGGAAGTCTCGCGGTTTTTTTTTTCTGCCGAATCAGCCGCCCTCGCCCATGTTTTGTTGAGTGAACACTTCATTTGCAAGAGTATACATTATCAATACTTGGTTCTGTAAAGGCTCATTATTCGTGTTCATGTTGTAAAAAGCGAAATAGCTTGACGATCCCCCCCTTACAGCCCCAGCAAAAGCGGTGGATGTTGGTGCCTTTGCCCCTTGGGAGTGTCGGGCGGACAAATTGCCCTGGCTGGCGCTGGATTTCCGCGATTTTGCGCGAGCTCTCCCCTCGTTGCTCTTGCGTGCGATGAATCCGCCCACCGCGAAACGTCGCTTCAGCTTCGCACGCCAGACCCCCGCTTGCGAAATCCGAGCCTCCGCAAACAGTGATTTGATGGAGGTTTTTGCCACGTGGCATGGGGATTCCGCCAAACGGAATCTCCCCTCCGTAACCTCCCCCTTCCGCCCATCCTTCCCCAGAGCCTGGTCGTGGCGCGCTGCTCGCCAGGTCAGGTGGTGGCGGAACGAGCGGAGAAGAAGAGGCAGCGATGTGCGCAAGCCCTATCGCTTTCCTAGAGTCATTGGCTAGGGTTTGGTCGCGTGAATCGCTCGTCTAAGACTTCCTGTCTATGTCTGCCCGCGACCTGCGCTGAGGGTTCGGCTATTAGACGCCTCTCAGCGGGATCTCTTTCCGCGAAGTCGCGAGGGTTCTTAACGGCGGGTTCGATGCGCGCAGATTGTGCGGATTACTAAGGGGGCCACGTATATCGGAGATGCCGGTGCGTAGGCACACCTGCATGGTTGGCCGTCGACGAACTGAGGTGTGAAGCTCGTTGTTACCATCGCTAAGGAGGCTTCTTACGTACGACCGCCTACGATTTTCAGGCATCTAAGCGACCATTGCAAGCACTGGGGAAGCCACAGTGGCTTAAGGTGCGGGGTTTCCTGCTTAACGTTGGCGACTCGGGCTGGTGTATGAAGATCGCTCATTAGGTCGTGGCACAGTCAAGTTAGGGGTTGATCAACTCAATAGTTTTTTTTTGCGTGTGAGTACACGGGTTGAGTCGACGTGGGGACGATGGACGTTGACGGCGAGGGGAAGGCTCCGCGGGGGAGGTACTTCGCGCGCTCCCCCGTGCGCGCGTCGTCCATGGGTGGCGCGCGATCCGGGGCGGCAGATCTGACGGCGAATGCGCCTCCGGGACGCGGTCCGAGAGGAGGCGCAGGGGTGACTGGGTTGCGGTATGCGGGGGAGAAGGAGGATGAGGATGACGAGGGGGAGGAAGAAGAGGAGGAGGTGGAAGACGAGGGGCTAGGGGATGAGGGAGAGGGGGAGGGGGAGGGGGACGAGGACGAGGAAATGGTGGAGGGGGAGGCGGATGGGGGGGACGATGAGGAGGGGGATGAGGATGAGGAGGGTGGAGGGGACGGAGGTGAAGATGAGGAGGGGGATGATGCAGAGGAGGCCGAAGAGGAGGAGGTTGAGGGCGGAGAAGAGGGCGGTGCGGGGGAGAACGAGGACGAGGAGGACGAGGAAGCGGACGAGCAAAAGGGCGACGATGCGGGTGGGGATGAAGGAGACGAAGAAGACGAGGAGGAGGAGGCCGCGGGGGAAGCGGAGGAGGAGGAAGAAGAAGAGGAAGAAGAGGGGGGGGAGGAGGAGGGGCACGAGGGTGTGGCGGACACGGAGCGCGCAGGGGGCGCGGACATGGCGGACGACCTGGCATCCGATGACGAAGACGAAGACGAAGACGAGGACGTGGACGGGGACGGGGACGAGGACGAGCGCGCGCATCAGCACGAGCGGGACGACCGCCCGCGGCCTCAGGCGCGACCTGCGCACGGCAAGCAGCTGCTGGTGGCAGGCGTGGCGCGGCGCGGCAACAAGCTCGTCATCTCCCGCCCGGGTATTACCAGGGAGGCGGACCGGCGGGTTGGGGAGGCGCAAGAGGCTGGGGTGGCGGGTAAGGGGGGCAGGGGCGGAAGTTCCGGAGGGTTTGGCAGCGCGGAAGAGTCGGATGACGTGTCGAGCGGTGACGAGGAGGCGGAAGAGGAGGCGGAAGAGGAGGAAGAGACGGATTTGGGCGGAGGATTAGATGGGCTTGGCGTTGGGCGTGCAGTTGGAGGGGGGTTGGACGAACAGGACGGGGGACTTGAGGGGGATGAAGAGGCGGTGGGGCGGGAGGAAGAGGAGGAGGAAGAGGAGGAGGAAGAGGAGGAGGAAGAGGAGGAGGAAGAAGAGGAGGAAGAAGAGGAGGAAGAAGAGGAGGAGGAGGATGGGGAAGAGGACGCGGAGGGAGAAGGGGAGGTATCCGAAGACGCGAAGCTTCCGTCCCAAGTGACAGGCGTCAGACTGGAAGAATCAGAGAGCAAGGATGTGGAGGACGAGGCGGAGGAGGAAGAGGAGGACGGGTCTGGTGCAGGTGCAGCTGACAATGAGAATTCGGACGATGAGGGGCAGGAACGCGAGGAGGACGGGGAAGCAGACACAGAAAAGGAGGAGGACGAAGAAGAGAAGGGAGAAGGGGAGGAGGAGGAGGAGGAGGCGGAGGTGGATGATGAGGACGATATTCCAGCGGACATCACGACGCCTCTGAAGCCGTCCGAGCTGGAGAACATGCCGCTGAAGGAGCTGCGGGTGAGTGCAGAAGAGCGCAGTGTATGCCGCTTACAGTCCTCTTTGCTCTTCTCACACCCGCTTCTCCTTGTCGTCAGTAGCACGTACCTTGCTGCCGTTTCTGCCATCACCCGCCACTGTGCCTCTTTCCTGTTTTCGCGACGTCCGTTTTGGGCCCCCCTTCCGTGCAGCAACTGTACACGACCCGCTTGGGCGAGGTCACCACGAGCAACAACAGCACGTGGCTGCGAAGGAAGCTGCTTGGCATGTGCGGTGAGTACGCCTCTCAGCTTTCCCTCCGCACCTTCTTGTCACGCACGCTGCATGGCCTATCCTCTCTACTGGCTTGTTTCAAATGCGCATTGATGTCCGTGCATGGTGTTCCTTGCTGTTCTCCCAATTCGTGGCCCTCCCATGTGCGACCTTCTACTGTGCGTACGCCCTTTGTGATATGCATCTTTCCGTGCGCAGCCACAGTGCGATCCAAGGGAAACTCACCAACTAAGCCCAGCAAGCCAGGGTAGGTCCCCAATTGTGCCGCTCCACGCTTTGCGCTATTTTTCTGCTCAGGCCTTCTGGCTTTCAGTCCCGAGCGTTTGGCATGAAATTATGACCTTTCTTGCAGGTGTATCCGTTGAACCATGCCTCGCCGCTGCTGTTTTCCATGGTCCATTGCCCTTCTCTCCCGCTCCTCTGTGTCTCTCGCGCTGCAGGTCGCCTTCCCCAGCGCCGTCCCCACAGCTGTCGGCCCGCACCCACAGCAAGCGCTCGTCGCTCCCCCCAAAGAAGTTCCGCTCTGACGTCATCATGCTGCCGCTCTCGCAGTCCCCCACCGCCTCCCCCTCACCTGCCGCGCACCGCAAGCTGCTCCTCCTTCCGCCCCGCCCCCCCACATCAAGTGATCAAGATGGGGACGGTGCTTCGGCTGCCGAACCTGGGCTGCAGGCTCGGCAGCTTCCCTCTGCTCCACAGGGGTCGAAGCGGAGGCGCGGAGCAAGAGTGGCAGGGGGCGGGAGCAGAGGGCACGGGGGAGGGGGGAAGGGGAGGCGGGATGGGGAGGAGGAACTGACGGGCAGAGAGACGAGGGGAGAGGGGGAGGGGGAAGGAGAGGGAGAGGAACGGGCGCTGTTGATACCGTCGCAAGTGCCTGCTGCAGCGTACAGGCAGGGGGTGCTGGTGTGGGTGAAAGTGCAGCCAGGATTGCCCTGGTGGCCGGGCCTAGTTCGAAAAATACACGCGCCGGTGCATGCAGGCGAGAAGTCGGAGGATGGAGGCAAGGCGACAGGCGGTGGGGGTCCACATGAAGGGTTTGTGACGGTGGTGCTTGTGCGGGGTGATGGGGAGGGGTGTGGTCGCGATGGTGGTGGCACGGGGGAGGAGGAGGAGGAGGAGGAGGAGAAGAGCAAGGAGGGTATGACGGGGAAGGACAGTGAAAGGGCAAAAGTGAAGGAAGAGCAGGAGGAAGGGAAGGGGAAGAAGATTGGTGTGGAGGTGGCAGCAGCAGCGACCGGCATAGCAGTGTTGGAGGGGCTCATTGGCAAGAGGTGAGTTGCCCTCAACATACTCCCATACCACAAGGCGATTCTGCTTCTCCACGTACTCGCCACGTTTGCTGTCCATACCTTGCTTTTCCATTGCCTCCCCTCTAACCCTTTCTGCACTTGCTCCATTCTCATTGCCCTCTGCCATTTCTCTCTCTCTCTCCGTTCTTCGCAGGACCACTGTCACGAGCTTGCTTGTCCTTCCCTTCGCACCCGTTCGCGATCACTTAGCATCGCAGGTAAGTTCTTCTCCCCGTTCCCTCTGCTATACACCACCGTTTTGCACCCCACTCCCCTCCTCCCGTGCCGCACACAACCATGCAGCTAACGCCAGCTGCATCCATAGGTTAACGGACTCTCCCCCCGTCATGAAGCTTCATATCTCTCCTTCTTTTCCTCTTCCTTCCCCCTCCCCGCCCCTTTCCCCCAACCCCATGCCCATCCCCCTGTGACCCCCCTCCCCTCTCCAGCGTCTGCCGTGTGTCCCAGGGCTGCGCTCGCTCTTCCGCGCCGCCGTGGCTTGGGCGGACGCACACGCACGGCAGCACAGGGACAGAGATGGGTCGGACCTGGCGGCGCTGGTGGGAGGGGAAGGGAGGGTGCGCAGGAGTGGCGGTGCAGCGCTGGGAGAGGAGGAGGTGGTGGTGGCAGCAAAGGGGCCGCACGGGGCAACGTGGAGGGAGAGGGAGCGCGATCACAAGGGGGTATGTGCTGCAGTGGCTGGGATTGTGAGGGTAGTATGGCGCTCTCAGGTGGGGTTGGGGAGTGGGTTTGTTTTGCATGATCCACAGTGCCCTTCTGTGTCTCAACCTTCTTGGCTGCTTTCTTCTCTCTCTCTCTCTCACACCTCTTGCTGGTTCAACACCCTCCAGAGGTACACTGAGTGTTTCAAGTGCAACGCACCGCTCAGCACCGCGTTGCCTTCAGCAGCTGACACCAAAGCTGTGAAGCGTGAGCGCACAGAGGAGGGAGCTGCAGGCGATCGTCACGATAAAGAACACGGGTCACGATCTCCCATTCCTTCTGGTGACGGCTGTGCCTTACACTGTGCGTCATGCCCTCGTGCCTACCACGCTCGCTGCGCTGCTACGTCTGAGGTTAAGGCAGGGCACGACTGGCAGTGCAGCGCTTGTGAAGCAGCCACGGTGGAGAGGCTAGCACGGGCCGACGCACGCACTGCTGCTGTCAGGACTGAAGTGGAGCGGGAGGAGGGGAAGAGGGAGAGGAGGGAGAGGGAGGAGAGAGAGAGGGAGAGAGAGCAGAAGCATGAAATGGAGAAGGGGAGAGAGCGGGGAAGGCACGAGAAGAGGGAGAGGGGGGATGAGGAGAGAGGGGGTAAGAGGGGCTGGCAGCAGCAGCAGCAGCACGTGCATCCGCCGTCCTTCCAGAGGACGTTCAAGCGTCGCAGGATGAGCGATCTCCCGCTCCCTGGCACCTCCTCTCCCCCCTCCGCCTCCCTCTCCTCCGCACGCCGGGCAGGTGCGGCAGGCCCCGGGCAGGCAGCAGATCCGGGCAGTCAGAAATCCCTGGGAAACACTAGGGAGCGGCGCAAGGGGCCGAAGATGAGCTGGTCGAGCCTGGCAGAGTCGGATGAGAGTGAGGAGGAGGAGAGACAGGGCGCGGGGAAAGGCGAGGAGGAGCACGAGGAAGACTTCGTTCGGCTGGACGAGGAGGAGGACGCAGCAGAGGTGGTGGTGACGTCGGATGACAGCGTGGAGGAGGGCGATGGGGTGTGGGCCGGCCCGGGGCTACATTCGGAGGTTTCGCGGGACAAGGCCGGCAAGAAAGGGGCAGTGGGCGGTGGCGGGAAAGGGGCCGGTGCGGGGCAGAGGGTGGCGGGTGGTGGCAAGATGGCAGCAGTGGGGGGCGGGCGGATGGAGAGGCGGATTGAGAGCTTGGTGGGGGGGCTGGCGGATGGAGGGAAGGGCAGGGATGCAGCAGCGGACGACGAGGAGGTGAGCACTGGTGTGGCATAAGGCTTGGGATACCCAGTGCTGTGTGCACACCACACCTTGTCAGTACTTTCACTGGGCTGCCATAACTCCTGCTCCACTCCTCCTCCCCTTTTCAATACCCCCACTGCTCTTGGCGCTTGCCTTTCCTCAACACAATTTCTGTGTTTTCCGCCCCTGCTGGCGCTCGCTTCCCCCGTGTTGTTGTCGCTCCCATTCCGTGCCCTGCGCCCCATGCAGGCGTCATGGGTGTGTGCGGTGTGTGGTGATGCGGGGTATCTCCTCTGCTGTGACCTCTGCCCGCGCCTCTACCATCTCTTCTGCCTCACCCCGCCCCTCAAGGTGCCGCACCTCGCCCACCAGAAATCTCCCGTTCCCCGCCTCGATCCCCACCGTGTCCTCCCCACCATGTTTGCTGCACCTTGCATGTGCCTCTGCCATCCTTTTCCTCCGCTCCCCTGGTCCTTTCCCCGCCTGCATTTTGTTACCCCAGACTCGTCTACGCCTCTGCCCCTCACTCGCCTCTGCCCCTCACTCGCCTCTGCCCCTCACTCGCCTCTGCCCCTCACTCGCCTGTGCTCCCCTCCTCGTCCCATCTGATCCGTCCCGCCTTCCCCAGAAAGCTCCTAAGGGCTCGTGGATCTGCCCAGTCTGCACAGAGGCTTCCACTCTCGAGGTACGTGTAGCACAGGGAAACCTGCTGCTTGCACCTAGAACCCTGTGTAATCATGAGCGTCCTCCGCAGTTATGTGCCTGAAGCTGTCAGTCATGATGTGAACATTCACCCAGAGCCGCTTTCTTTGCGCGGTGCACATGCCTGGTGAAGCTTTTTCTGAGTTTGTCGCAAGGTTTCTTTAGGCAATTTGAACCTTCATACGAGTGTGTGCCTCTCGCTTTTGTCACCTTTCCTAACCCCCTCTGCCCGGCACCTTCTCATGCTCGGCCCCCCTCCCATGCACCGTCCACACCCCCGTGTGCGCCCCTCCACTCCAGATTGAGCGCATATTCGGGTGCAGGATCCGGTCCCTGAAGGAGGGGCTGGAGGACGGCAAGCAGGAGGCCGGCGCTGCTAAGAAGGCTGGGGAGGGCGAGGAGAGTGAAGAGGTTGCCAAGGGAGTAGGGGAGGGGAAGAGAAAAAGGCTGGGTTCTGGTTCTGGGGAGGTCATAGAAGGGGATACGGACGTGGGGGAGGAGGTGGATGTAGTGAGTGTTGACGATGATGATGCTGATGCCCATGCTGCAGAGGTCGCAAGGTTGAGATCCAAGGCAGCAGCAAGTGGCGATGGGGATTCCGCAGGGAAAGATGTGGGCGCAGGGGGAAAGGAGGAGGAGGGGAAGGATGGTGCCGCAAAGGCAGCAGCAAGTGGGGGTTCAGAGGAGAAGGGTGGCGCTGGGGAAGATGGTGGGAGCGCAAGGACTAGGGGGCATGCAGGAAGAGGGCTGAAAGGGAACAAGGGTGTGACTGTGGGTCGTGTTGGGGGTAGTGGGGATCGTGCCAAGTGGAGGGATGGACGGGGGGAGAGTAAGGGGAAGGATGAGAGGGAGAAGGGGAAGGAGAAGGCAGAGGAGGAGGAGGAGGAGGAGGTGGGGAAGGAGAAAGTGAAGGAGGGGAAGAGCGATAAGGAAGACCGGGTGGATTCTAGTGTGAAATGTGACGGGAAAAAGGGAGGGAGCGATAAAGAGGGAGACAAGGAGGGCAGTGGGGCCAAGGAGGGAGGGAAGGACGGGAGCAAGGCGAAAGATACGGCGGACGAAGGGAAGGAGAAGGATGAGAAGGGGGGCAAGGAGTTAGTGAAGTCGGGAGATTCGAGTCATAAGGACGACGAGAAGGCACCGGAAAAAGGCAAAGACACTGACCTGAAAGAGCAGAAGAGCGGCGAGAGCGGCAAGGAGGACGAGGACGGGGAGGAGGTGGTGGAATATCTGGTGAAGTGGGTGGGCAAGGCGCATGTGCACAACACTTGGCTGTCGGAAGAGCAGGTGGTGGCACTAAACCAGCGCAAGCTCGACAACTACCGCCAGCGCCACGGCCGCACGCCGCTCTCCCTCATGGAGGACCAGTGGACGCACCCCCACCGCATCATCGCCCACCGCTCCCTTGGCCGCCCGCGCCTGCCCTCCAAGGGAAAGGGCGCAGGCAAGGCGGGGGCGAGTGGCGGGAGCATGGATGGCGGGGCGCGGGGGATTGGGAGAGGGGGCCAGCAGCAGCAGGAGGTGCTGGTGAAGTGGTGTGGGCTGCCGTACGACGCGTGCACGTGGGAGGACGTGCGCAGCCCCGCCATAGCATCCAATCCCAAGCTGCTCCAGGCGTACGAGACCTTTGAGCGCATGGCCAGGACGCCAGGCGGCGGGGCAGTCCCCCGCAAGCTGTCAGCCGTCCCGGACCTGAAGGAGCAGCCGAGCAACCTGGCGGGTAAACTCTTCCCGCACCAGCTAGAAGCAATCAACTGGCTGCGCCGCTCCTGGGCGCGGCGCCGCAACGTGATTCTAGCGGACGAGATGGGGCTGGGAAAGACCATCTCAGCGGCCTCCTACCTGTCGTGCGTGAAGACGGAGCTCAAGGTGCCCGGGCCGTGCCTGGTGCTGGTGCCGCTGTCCACCATGCCCAACTGGTCCGCGGAGTTTGCGCTCTGGGCGCCGCACCTCAACCTCGTTGAGTACCACGGCAGCGCCAAGGCGCGCGCCGTCATCCGTGACTTAGAGTTCTTCGCTTCAGGTGATGGGGGCGGCGGCGGTGGCGGAGGTGGCAGTGGCGGTGGGGGGAGAGCGAGTGGGGAGAAGGCACGGGGAGCGGGGGGCAACAGCAACCGGCGGTACAGGTTCCACGTGATGCTGACGACGTTTGAGATGGTGCTGGCCGACACATCGGTGCTACGCGCGATCCCCTGGGAGGTGCTGGTGGTGGACGAGGGGCACCGGCTGAAGAACAACGAGAGCAAGCTCTTCACCCTGCTCAACACCTTCTCCTTCAACCACCGCGTGCTGCTCACCGGCACGCCGCTGCAGAACAACGTGGGCGAGATGTACAACCTCCTCAGCTTCCTGCACCCCTCGGACTTCCCGTCGCTCTCGGCGTTCAAGGAGCGGTTTGCGGCGATGGACGCGGCGGGGCAGGTGGCGGAGGTGCAGCGCATGGTGGCGCCGCACATGCTGCGGCGCCTCAAGAGGGAGACCATGAAGCACATCCCGCCCAAGGAGGAGCGCGTCGTCCCCGTGGAGCTCTCCGTCGTGCAGGTGAGAGGGGGGGCGATGAGGGGGGGAGAGGGGGGGAGGAGGGGGGAGGGGGATGGGGAGGGAATCACTTTGGCTGGTTAGTTGGTTGTGGATTCCAGTCTACTGTTTGCATGGCTGCGGCTTTGGATCGTTGCTCGTGGCTCATGCGTGTGCTCTCTTCCTGGCCACTCCCTTTTCTATGTGTATGCGTGCGTGCACAGGCGGAGTACTACCGCGCACTGCTGACGAAGAACTACCAGGTGCTGCGCACGGGCAAGGGCGGGCATCAGTCCATGCTCAACATCGTCATGCAGCTCAGGAAGGTGCGTCCTGCGCTGCGCCGCACCCCTGCCTGCGACAGCAGCAGAGCTTGCTGGGATATGACGACTGCTGCTCCCTCCCCATACCATCCCGCTGCTATGGATGCAAGACAAGCCCCTCCATCCGCTCTCCATCCCTCGTACCCCTGACCCCACCCCCACACGCCTCCTCCCTCCTCTCTCTCCTCTTCCCCGCACTTTTCCCGCCGCCCTAGGTGTGCAACCACCCGTACCTGATCCCGGGCACGGAACCCATGGTGGGCAGCATGGAGTCGCTGCAAGCAGCCAGAGTAGCGGCATCGGGCAAGCTCCAGCTGCTGGACCGCATGCTGGAGCGCCTCAGGGCGGCGGGCCACCGCGTGCTCATCTTCTCGCAGATGACAAGGCTGCTGGATATCCTCGAGGAGTACCTGGCTGTGAAGTTTGGGCCCCGGACATATGAGAGGGTGGATGGGAGCGTGGGCGTGGCGGATAGGCAGGCGGCCATTGCGAGGTTTAACAAGGTGAGAGCGGTGGTCGTGGGTTGTGGGATGGGATGGTATGGTATGGCATGGGGGGTGTTGTATGTGTGCTGCTGTCAGTGCGTCCTTCACACATTCTGCCATACATGGTTCTTGCACCAAACCTTGCTGTCGTTCTCGCTCCCTTCTACTCCACCCTTTCGCCCCTCACCCACTTTTCACCCCCCTTGCCACACACACACACACACACACACACACACACACACACACACACACGCACACACACACGCAGGACATGTCGCGATTTGTGTTTCTGCTGTCCACGCGGGCATGCGGGCTGGGAATCAACCTGGCCACAGCGGACACCGTTGTCATCTACGACTCTGACTTCAACCCGCACGCCGACATCCAGGTACTGCCCATTTCGCCTCGCCCCACCTATGTCACTCCGGGCTGTATTTCTCGGCTGGCAGCTTTGAGGTGTGGCTGGTGGTGTGGTCGGGGTGGAGGGGCAGATACAGGGGGGAGATGGGGAGTGGGGTGGGGAGATGTCGAGAGTTCAAGGACGTGACTGTCAACACCACTCAGACAACCAGAGCACTCACCCCCCACCCCCCACCCCCACCTCCCTCCTCCTCACCCTTCTCCCCACTCCCTTCCCCCCCCCCTCTCCCTTTCCCCTCGCCCCTCTTGCCTCCAGGCCATGAACCGTGCGCATCGCATTGGGCAGTCGAAGCGTCTCCTGGTGTACCGCCTGGTGGTGCGCGCGAGCGTGGAGGAGCGCATTCTGCAGCTGGCCAAGCGCAAGCTGCTCCTCGACCACCTGCTCGCCGCCAGCAACACCGGGGCTGGCGGGGCTGCTGCCGCCGCGGGCAGCAGCAAGTCGGGGAACGCTGGGAATGTGAAAGAACTGCAGGACATTCTGCGGTGGGGCGCAGATGAGCTGTTTGAAGAGGATGCTAAGGTGGAGGTGGAGGGAGAGGAGGGGGGAGGGGGTGGGGGAGATGGTGGGGGAGAGGGTAAGGGTGGGAAGGATGGTGCTGGGGAGGGTGGTGAGAAGGATGAGGAGAAGGAGGAGAAAGGGGAGGGAGGGGAGGGGCAGGTGAGGAGGAGTAGACGTGTGCTGGGGCAGAGTGATAAGGGGAAGGGCGATGGGGAGGGGGAGATGACACCGCTTGCATCCGCTGCAGCTGCTGCTGCTGCTGCCGCTGCTGCCGCTGTTGCGGCAGCAGCTGCCGGGGAGGGGGGAGCAGCGGGTGCAGCAGGCAAGGAAGAGAAGGGAGAGAAGGAGAAGGGCAAGGAGGCAGAGAATGACGAGGTGGAGGAGGTGAAGGGAGGGGAGGACGGGAAACCCGACGCCAGCGCGGCAGCAGCGGAGGCAGTGGCGGCAGCAGGGGGGGGGACGTTTGACATAGGCGAGCACCGGAAGGGGCGCAAGGACCGCAGCAGCCTGGGCAACGTGTACGGCGACACGTGCCACGAGGGCGGGCGGCGGCGCCTGCAATGGGACGAGTCGGCCATCTCAAAGCTGCTTTGCCGCACGGTGGCAGAAGGAGGCCATGGGGAGGAGGAGGCAGGGGAACCACTGCTCGGGTCCATCAAGGTGCGCCCGCTCGCTCTGTTGACCCCGTTCACTCGGTTGACTTGATTTACTGTGCTGTCTCTGCTAACCATGTTTACTCTGCTGGTCCAATGCATGCCATCTTGACTCCCCTCCCCCTCACACTTGCCTCCTCTTCTCCCTGATTTCCCACCCCCCTATGCGATGCATTGCTTGCAGGCGTGGACATTCGAGGAGGCGGATGAGGAGGTGGAGGAGGAAGCGGGGGAAGACGAGGGGGTGGTGGAGGTGGAGGGGGAGGAGGTGGGGGAGGAGGCAGTGGTGGCGACAGCAGCAGGCAAGAAGGGCAAGGGGCACAAGGAGCACAAGGACGAGAAGGACGATGCTTCCGGGGAGTGGGAGAGGCTGCTCAAGAACCGGTATGTGTCTCATGGCATGCTGGGGTATGGAGGGCGTGGGAGGGTATGTGAGTGTCGCAATGGGATGGCATGCATGCCATGTCATGGGATGTTAGGGGGTGTCATGGCATGTCATGAGATGCCATGCAATGGGATGGTGTGTGTTGTGACATCCTGGTGAGCTGTCATGCTCCCTTTCTCCCCACCCACTCTTTCCTCTCTTCCCCGCTCCCATCCCTTCCCCTCTTCCTGCAACTCAACTCCACCACTCCATCCATCCCCCATCATGCCCCTATCTTCCTGCCATATCTCTCCCTGCCTCATCTTCCTCCCCGCCCCCCGCCACCTGTCCTCCTCCCGTCCTCTCTCTGCGCGCAGGTGGGAGCAGATGCAGGTGGAGACGAGTGCGCTGTTGGGGCGGGGCAAGCGCACGCGGCGCCCGGTGTCGTACAACGAGCAGGGCATCGTCGCCGCCATGGCCGCTGCTGATGCCGCCGCCCTTGCTGCTGCCGCCACTGCCTCCAAGGTCAGACCTGTGCTGATGCATGTGCACACACACTCACCCACACGCACATTCACGCTCGCCAAGTTCCCATTCCCTTCCCCCCCTTCCTGTGCCCACCCGTTTTGCGTCGCTAACAGTCCACCTTGCCTTCCTTCTCACTCTCCTCATTCGACCTGGCATGCCAGTCTCACCTCTCTAAGTCTGTACGCGTGCATTCGTGGTGTGTGTGTGTGTGGGTGAGCATGCATGGGGCGGGCATGCATGTGTGCGAGTGAGTACGTGTGAATGGCATGCCCACGTTGCTGTACAGGAGGACCATGAGGACGAGGAGGAACCGGCAAGAGAGCTATCAGCAGCTGGAAAGGCACACAGGGACAAATGGCAAGTGCTCCATCCTTTCTCTTTGCCGCTCGGCACTTGACAGACCTCAAACACTCATCCTTACTTCGCTTTTTCCCCCGCCTGTATGCTTGTCTTGAATAATGCACTACAGGTGTCAATCACAGCTCTCCCTCGTTGAACTCGTCTCAGCTCTCACATGTGTGTGCTTGTTTTCCCCACTTGTCACCCCACTATCGCCCTCCGCACGCCAGGCTGAAGCTTCGGCAGCGTCAGAAGGCACGCATTGCCGATCGAGGCAAGACGCCTCCCCCCAAGCCCAAGCCCAAGGCTGCGCCTGCCTCCTCCAAGCGCCCCCCTCTCCCCTCCGCCACACTCAACACCTCCTCTACCCCCTCTCATGCGCTCGGCAAGCACGGCGTGGCCGGTCACGCACACAAGGGAGCAGCAGCGGCAGGGGCAGCAGCGGGAGCAGGAGGAGCAGGAGCACCCGGCAAGTCAGGTGCTGCATCCGCTGCGACTGCTGCAGCGGCAGCAGCGGCATCAGGCGGAGCGGGTGCGAGTGCTAGTGGGGTGATGGGCATGGAGGGCAGGAGAGAGTCATCCCACATGGTGGGTAAGGTGCCCGCTGAATGGTTCTGGAATCACCCTGGCGCTGCTGCAGCAGGGAAGCCCGGCACAGCAACAGCAGGAGCAGGGTCGTGGCATGCAGGGGCAAGTGGCGGGTCAGGGAACAGCACAGGGCAGGGGGTAGCAGGGGCCACGGGGCAACCAGGCATAGGACGAGCTGGAGACAAGACCGAGCCTCGACCTTTCAGCCCGAACCAGCATCTTGGGCTCGGGAAGTCCACCATGGGTGGAGGCACGGGGGGGGCGGGAGCAGGAGCAGGAGCAGGGTCACGGGCAGGGGCGGGTCAACCCTCATCCACCGGAGGTCCGTCGCGCCTCTACGTCGACTCCTCTCTCTCCTACCTCCCTCGCCCCCCGCTCTTGCGGAATTTCAACTCGGCCGATGCTGCGGGGGCGGGTGTCCCTAACCCAGCCCTGTCTGCTGCGGCAGCGCATGCAGCAGCGGCAGCGGCAGCAGCAGCCAGTGGCCGGGGCAGCAATGGGCATCATACAGGTGGGAAAGCAGGGGGTGGGAAGATGGGAGGAGGAGGCAGTGTTGGGGTTGGGGAGGGTGGTGGTAGCCGGCTTCTGAGCGCGCCTAGTATGTTCAAGTTTGGAGGGAGTGTTGCTACTGCAAGCAAGGAAGCTGGCGCAAGTTCCTTGCACAAGCACCAGCATCAGCAGCAGCAGCAGCAGCAGCAGCAGCACCCGCACCACCAGCAGCACCAACACCAGCACCAGCAACCACAGCACCAGGCGCAGCAGCAGCAAGGGGGCAGGCAGGCACAGCATCCTTCTCCTGGCAGCTTGCCATCAGCATCCCCCAGCCCTGCATCAGGTGTTAAATCCACAGGCAACCAGACCATGGACTCAACCCACATGGCAAGGACAGCAGGTGCTGCCAGCATACCTGGGGGAATGGGAGGCACAGCAGCAGGAGGAGCAGCGGGCATGGCGCCGTCATCCTCCCCCCAGCAGCCCACTGGCAAGGCGCCTCTCCTCTTCCTCCCCAACTTCCCCAGCTTCCCCTACCCCCACCTGCCTCCCTTCTCCCGCACCCCTGGGCAGCAGCCCACGTCCCTGCAGCCCCCCCCTCTGCCATCCTTCACGCATATGCCGCCCCATGATCAGGCAGGGGTTATGGGTGGAGCGGGTGGTAAGACTAACTGGATGAGTCCCCAGCAGCAGCAGCAGCAGCAGCAGCAGCAGCAGCAGCAGCAGCAGCAGCAGCAGCAGCAGCAGCAGCAGCAGCAGCAGCAGCAGCAGCAGCAGCAGCAACAGCAGCAGCAGCACCAGCACTACCAACAGCAGCACACGCAACAGCAGCAGTACCAGCAGCAATACCAGCAGCAGCAGCACGCAGCACAACTGGCAGGAAAGCTGGGCTCGGTAAAGTCCCCTCCTCCTGAGGCAACACGACAGTCCACAGCAGGGAAGGCAGAGGAGCAGCGGCAGGCCAAGGCTCAGAGGCGTGCAGACAGGCACAGTCAGAGAGACGCCCCCAAGGAAGGCCAGAGAGGCAAGGAAGGCGAGCTGGGCGGCCAGCAGCAGAACCAAAGCCAGCAGCAGCAACAGGAGGGCAGCCGCGGCGGCGCTAATGAGGGCAACAGCGGCAGCAGTGCGACAATCAATGTGGAGAAGTTTCGATACCAAAACGTGTCGTTCCCCCAGCGCATCTACACGGTCATTGGAGTGCCCATAGGGCCTAGGGGCGCGGGGGCCGTGCCCGCATCACCTGACATCATTGCTGCTGCGACTAAAGAGCTGCTCGCTGCGGGAGGCACCCCGCAACCCCGCTCCTCTGCCTCCACCCCTGCTGGACCCGCTGCTGCTGGCGCTGCTGGTGCTGCTGGTTCTGCTTCGGCAGCAGCTGCAAAGGATGGTGTGGTTCCAAAAGGTGGTGTTGCTGGGGTAGATGGCAGTGCAGCAGGAGCAGCAGCAGCCAATGGGCTGGGTAAGGCGAGTGGGGGGGAGAGAGACAGCAGGGAGCAGCGTGGGGAGGGTGTTGCGGGTGCGGTCGCTGGCGGGAAGTCAGGTGCAGGCAAGGAGGGGAGAAGAGGTGGGGAGGATCGAGGCTTGCAGTCAAAGGGAGGGTACCGGGATTGGCTGGTGGAAGGAACAGAGGCTGCTGCTGCTGCAGCAGCAGCAGCAGCAGCAGGAGCAGGAGCAGGAGCAGGAGCAGGCAGGGAGGAGCAAGGGGCAGGAGGCAAAAGGCAAACTGGGGGAGCAGCAGCAGTTGGAAGAGGAGAAGCAAGGGAGAAGGACCAACGAGGTCCTGCTGGCAGTGCTGGTCAGGGCGAGAAGGCAGCAGTGGGGAGGGACGTGGAAGGAGAGAGCAGGGCAGCAGGTGCAGGCACGCAGTGGGGTGAGGAGGAGTTGGATGCGCTGTGGATCGGTGTGAGGCGGCATGGGAGAGGGCAGTGGAGGGCTATTCTGGGTGATAGAAGGTTGAGGATGAGGGAGAGGAGGATAGAGGAAGAGCTAGAGGAAAGGTGGGCGGCAGAGGAGAGGAGGATTCTGGGGTGGACTGAGACCGACCAGGAGAGGCGGAGGGAGAGGGAGAGGGGGAAGAGGAGAGAGGTTAAGGAAGTGAAAGAGGTGAAAGAGGCGGTGGGAGGGGAAGAGGATGCGGACGATGTGATTCTGCTTGGAGCTGAGGAAGTGGAGCGGGAGAGGAGCAAGAGAGAGGAGGGCGTGTATGGAGGAGGGCGGGAGACGCAGAGGAGGGATGGTAAGAGGAAGTTGGATGAGATGGGCCTGGAGGGAGAGGATGGCAGGGAGAGTGGGGAGGGAGTGGAGCGAGGGACAGGGAAGAGGGCGCCAGGAGAGGGGCGAAGGGAAGCGAGAGGGGCAGGTGAGAGGGCACCGGTGGGTGAAGGGGTGAATGAGAACGGAAAGGGTGAGGACGTGAGAGTTGGGAGAGCAGTTGGAGCTGCAGCAGGGGAGGCAGAGCAGCAAGGCAAGGGGGAGCGCGGCGGGGGTGCACGAGAGGAACTGGCGAGAGGGGCAAGCGCAGCAGGAGACAAGGGCACTGCTGGTGGTAGCACCAGTGCGGCTCATAGCTGGAGCAGGGAGGGCAGCGATAGGGAGGTTGGCATGTCAGGGAAAGGCAAGCGGGTGGGTGTGGACAAGAGGGATGGAGTGGAGCGAGTGGCAAATCATGGGGCTGCATTGTATGCGAGAGGGGTGGGGGAGGAGGAGGACGACGACGATGATGTGGAGATCATCCCACCGTTTGGGCCTTCTGCTATAACGTCTGCTCGTGCTGCTGCTGCTCCTGCAGCAAGAGACGGAAAGGGCAGAGAGGCAGAGGAGGCAGAGAAGGGCAGTTTGGGTGCAGAGGGGAGAGCACAGCAGTCACAGGCGCATATGTCGCGTGGTGTCACTTCACCACGCGGCACCTCTCTGCACACCTCGTCTCGTCACCTCTCGTCCTCGCCCAAGCCATCCTCTCCTCTCACTCTGCCTTCTTCCCATCCCACCACCAACCAGTTTCCTGCCTCTCCTCTCTCCCCACCTCTCTCCCTTCCACCTGCTGCCCCCACGCCTCCACCGGCGCCTTCCCAGAGCTTCGCACTCACACCCTTCGACTCCAAACAGCAGCAGCAGCAGCAGCAGCAGAAGCCTTCGAACTCTCCCCAGCGCCCTTCTCCCAAGGCGGAACGGGGGGATCTGCCAGGGCAGACAGCAATCCAGGCGCCCATAGCGTCCCTCGCTCCTGATCGTCTCGCGCTCTCCAAGGCCTCATTCTCCACCCTCATCTCCCCCCCTTCCACTCGCAAGCCCCCTCCTACCTTCCACCCCGCCGCTTCTGCTGCCACTGCCATTCCCGCCACCATGCCCAGCCCAGTACCTCTGACGTCGGTTTTAACTCCACTACCCCCCACCGCAATCACCCCTCACCCCTCGAGACCAGCCGCTGGGCCGCACGCCCCTGTGCCTCCGGGTTACTCCTTCCTCCCTCCCCCCCGCCGCTCCTCTGCCCCTGCCCGCCCCATAGCGTCATCACAGCTGACAGCTATTTCAGTGGCCTCCAAGCATCTCGCGGCTGACTCCACGCCTGTGCTGCCAAGAGCTGCTTATGTGGCACCAGTTGATTGGACGCCACGCCCGCTGCCGAGAATACGCAAGATGAAGAAGTTTTGGAAGCTTCAGAGAAGCCGCACTGCTGTTGGAGCGGCAGCTGCTGTGGCTGCGGGTGAAGCAAGGGGAAATGGGGTGAGCACTCCAAGACAGGGCACAGGTAGGGGGGGCACGATCCCTGCACCTCCTGCTGATTCTGATCATGCACTGGTAGCAGCTACTTCACCAGCTATTGTGCCAGCAATGCTCTCTCCTGGGGTCGGCAGCTCATTGCATGGTGCTTATGCGAATGTACCACACTCTCAACCCCGGTGAATGTGGCTGAATTCCGGTCGAACCTGGTGGTGTACTGAGAGTGGGCTATAATGTGCCAAATGTCGGCTTCGCTCTTTGTGTTATCCTAATGATACTATGATGGGATATTAGTTACAATTCTGATGGAAAATGGTTTTCGGTACACTCCATCCTACTTTCTGTGCCTGCCTCCACTGTAGCATGTCCATCTCACAGTGGTGTCAGTTCTTTCCGCTCTCATTCGACCACGTCACTCACCTCCCCACAAATGGCGCGTGACAGCCTTTCGCAACATTTGCTAATCACGTGCTTCGCTGCATGCTTGAAACGAGCACATTTTCAGCACGGTAAACCGTTGTAAAACGCAGGGCAACCCAGAAAAACGTACTGCATCGCACAAACCAAGCATAGAGGCACGAAATGTTGGCGGTCCAACCGGAGGCTGCCCCGGTTTCCTCCACCACTAGGCGCCCTCCAAGAAATGTTAGCGTGTCCGTGCTCTTCTCTCCTCCCATTTCCCTTACAGATTTCCTGCTCGACTACGGCGTTCGGTCAGTCTGCGTTTTTCCATCGCAGATTCCCGTTGTACCTCCACGGTCCACTTTCTGCAATCGCCGTAGAGCTTCAAGATTCTTTGAGAATTATTCTTTTCCCGGTTTCGCGATCCACTGCTGGTACCCAGTTAACCATGGCGCCTGCAGAGCCAGCGGTCCCTGAGAAGATGTCTGCGTGGCAGTACTCGAAGCGTGGCGGCGGCGCGGAGGCTTTGCAAGTAAGGACGAACCGTTTTCTTCCACCTTTTCCTACGATTCCCCGTATCATCCCCCTTCCGTACGATGCTGGATCTTTGATAAGCTTGTTGCGTTGCGACCATCGGCAACTCCCGAAAGTTTTCTTGTACTCTTCCCCCGCGTTCCCCCCGTCCCTTCCCCCTTCCCCCCCTCCCCCCAATCGCAGCTGAACGAGAGCGCGCCAGTGCCGAAGCCGGGCAGGGGTGAGGTGCTGGTGAAAGTGAGCGCGGCGAGCATCAACCCCGTGGACTGGAAGATGCAGAACGGCTACATCCCCATCCTGCCGCTGCGCTACCCCGCCACCCCTGGTACGCCCTCCCGCCTCCCTTTCCGCTCCCATCCCTCTTGCTCTTCCCGCAAACTCCTCCTCCCTCTCCCTCCCTCCGTCCCTCCCTTACTCCTCCCTCACTCCTCCCTCACTCCTCCCTCACTCCTCCCTCACTCCTCCCTCACTCCTCCCTCACTCCTCCCTCACTCCTCCCTCACTCCTCCCTCACTCCTCCCTCACTCCTCGCTCACTCCTCTCCTCACTTGCTCATGCACTGCCCCCCCCCGCCCTTTCCGACGTTGAGTGCTCAGGGATGGATTTGGCGGGAGATGTGGTGGGCTTGGGCCCAGGAGTGACCAAGTACAAAGTGGGAGACAGTGTCTTTGGCTCAGCATCGCCTTTCGTGAGTTCTGCCCCGCTGCGTCGCTTTCCTTTTCCCCTCTGAAATCCGTCGTTCCTCTTTCCTACCTCCTTTCCTCTCAATATTAGCATCGTGTTCCTGAAATCCGTCTATCAAAAACAATTCCAACTTTTTTATGCGTTTTCTAGAAACTGGGTGCGCTGGCACAATATGCAGTGCTGACGGCAGCAGGGAGTGCTCCCAGACCCGCCTCCATCCCTCCTGAAGTTGCAGCAGCCCTCCCTATCGCGGGCCGCACAGCCCTTCAGGCCCTCCGTGACTTTGCCGGCTTGCCTCTGCCGGCCACGCCTGATGCTGACACCAAGAACGACTACAGTGGCCGTGTGCTGGTGGCGAATGCGTCGGGGGGAGTGGGGCATCTGGCCGTGCAGCTGGCCAAGATGACAGGGGCGCACGTGACAGCCACAGTGGGAGCACGCAACTTTGACTTTGCGCGTAAGCTGGGAGCAGATGAGCTGCTGGATTACAAGACTGAGGCGGGGCAGCGCCTGTCAGCCTCCGCTGATACTCCTCTGCCGTCTTCTGACCTTTACAATGCTGTGGTTGATGGCACACACGGCCTGTCTGTTGCTACTGTGGATCGAGTGCTTCGCCCGGATGGTAAGTGGCTGCACCTCACGCCTCCTCCTTCGATCATGGCGCTGGGGTTATGGCGCTGTGTTGCGTTTCGCCCAAAGAAGGTGCATTCCATCTTGATGGAAGCCAAGGGCTCGGATCTGGAGATCCTGGCGAAGATGGTGGTTGAGGAGAAGCTGAAGGTGACGCTGGATGCCACAGTGCCGTTTGAGAAGGTCAGGGATGCATGGGCGCGGAGCATGGAAGGGCATGTGGTGGGGAAGGTGGTGGTGAAAATGGATTGACCTATAGACTGACTGGCTCCGCTGGTATTGGCACCACAGTGAAGGCATGGTGCAGTGTCACTGTGGTCACATGGTGTAGATTGATTGGGATGAAATGGTATGCTTGTTGCATCTTGTACAGCAACAGTGAGAGCATTTGAAATTGTGGACTGCGAATCTAGAAAACTGCTCTTATGAGGTCTTTTTGTACAACGAAGTGTGAAGTCTCTGCTTGTAAGTTTGGTAGATTGCACACTTAGTCAACTTATACATATATTGTTATGTAGAAGTAATAGGCTGGATAGGGTATGTTCTTAGTGGGTACAACCCGAACGCTATATCTCCCCTGTTCTCCCTTCTGATAATTTTTTCTGGTCATAACATGCCATCACGAGTAGGTAGTTCCACCCACCCGCTTCCGCCCCGTGCTGCCACCTACCGGACCCTCACGCCCCTAGCTAGCCCCGCGCGCCCCTACGTCCCCGTCGCGCCCCTAGCAGGGCCCGTCGCGCCCTTACGGCCCCGTCGCGCCCCTACGGCCCCGTCGCGCCTTTATGGCCCCGTCGCGCCCCTCCGGCCACGTCGCGCCCCTAGCAGACCCCGTCGCGCCCCTACGGCCCCGTCGCGCCCCTACAGCCCCGTCGCGCCACTACGGCACCGTCGCGCCCCTACGGCCCCGTCGCGCCCCTGCGGCCCCGTCGCGCCCTTAGCAGGCCCCGTCGCGCCCCTACGACCCCGTCGCGCCCCTACGGCCCTGTCGCACCCCTACAGCCCCGTCACGCCCCTAGCCGGCCCCGTCGAGCCCCTACCGGCCCCGTCGCACTCCTACTGCCCTGTCGCGCCCCTAGCCGGCCCCGTCGCGCCCCTACCGACCACTTGCGCCCCTAGCCTGCCCCGCGCGCCACTACAGCCCCTCGCGCCCCTTGCCGGCCCCGTCGCGCCCCTCCCGGCCCCTTGCGCTCCTAGCCGGCCCCGTCGCGCCCCTACCGGCCCCTCGCGCCCCTAGCCAGCCCTGTCGCGCCCCTACCGGCCCTCGCGCCCCTAGCCGACCCCTCGCGCCCCTACGGCCCCTCGTGCTCCTACCGGCCCCCCCGCGTCCCTAGCCAGCCCCACGCGCCCTTGTCGGCCCCGCTCGCCCTAGCCGGCCCCTTGTGCCCTAGCCGGCCTCTTGCGCCCTAGCCGAACTCATCGCCTGCACGGCCGAGCCGCCGTGTCCCCGAGCGGCCGTGCCGCCGAGCCGCCGTGCCACCGTGTCGCCGTGCCGCCGGACCGCCGAGCCGCCATGCCGTCGTGTCCCCGAGCCGCCGAGCACCTGCGCCGCCGAGCCGCCGTACCGCCGGGCCGCCGGGTCGCCGTGCCGCCGAACCGCCGCGCCGCCGAACCGCTGTGCCGCCGAACCGCCAAGCCGACGAGCCGCCGAGACGCCGTGCCGCCGTGTCCCCGAGCCGCCGCGCCGCCGAGCCGCCGAGTCGCTGCGCCGCTGAGCCTCTGTGCTGCTGTCACACTGTGCGGTGGCGGACGCCGTTCTTCGCTTGCATGCTGAGGGGCACGCGATCGACTTCGCCGCCTGGCTCGTCGACCTCCGCCGGCACCTGACAGGTCAGCGCCAGGATGGGCACTCCCTGGCTATGCATGTTGATGGTTTGCTTCCCCGCCCCACTGCGCCTGATCCCCTCCCTGCTGACCCTACCACTGCTGAGAGCGAGGCTTTTGCTGTTGCTGTGCTTGTTCGAGCTGTCTGGGATTCTCGCGACGCAGTAGCCCAGCTTGCCATTAGCCATGCCCTCCCCCTGTCTGAGCGTCCGCGCTTTACCGCTGTCGCGAACGCCAAGGACTTTCTCGCTGCAGTAGTTGAGCGTTACTCCACACCTGCTTCCGCCTCTGCTGGCCACTTGATCCTACCCATGCTCTTCCCTAATCTTTCTGCTTTCCCCACGGTAGCTGACCTCGCTACCCACCTCCGTGCACTAGAGACCAGCTACCGTGCTGCTAGCTCTGCCATCCAGCTTACTGCCTTCCCCCAACCTTTCTGCGCTACCCTGTACCTCATCGCCATGTGCCTGCTTGACCGCTTAGCCACTGCCCGCGACCAGTTTCTTAGTCAGCACCCTGCCGGCCTCACCCTGACCGCCTTTGTCACTACTCTGTCAAAGATAGAGACTTGCCAGCGCACTATCGCTCAGTCGAGCGGTGTTGCGGCAGTCCCTATCTTTCAGGGCTGTGCCCCCTCCCAGTGCACGTACGCTGACGTCTCCGCCACAGTTGCCACGACAGCGCCTGCACCTGAGACAGCAGCTGCGGCGTACCCGCAGCAGCGCCAACGCCGGGGCCGCCGTGGCCCCAAGGGAGGACGTGGAGGTGGCGCTAGTGGTGGTGGTGGCGGGGACAGTGGTTCTGGTGAGGGGGTTTGTCACAGGATCGAATGTGTCGAGGAAAGATTGCACTATCGATCAGTACAAGGCGCTTTTATACTTCAAGAGTACATTAGGTAACAAGGTTTATCCTATCCCAAAGGAATAGACCCTTCTAGAAAATAGAATCACCCTGTGTATAGCCACGCGAGGCTATTGGCTTTAAGGGATTACGGCAGGATTACGCAAGATATAGCGCGCCAGTACACCCCGAGCCTGGTCGGTGATATATTGATAATAACAGGATAAACCAAAGGTTTATGGAAAAGGAGAAATAGGAATCCAAATGGAATGAGATAAAGACCAAATGGATCACGATAAAAAGAGAGATGTAATAGAAAGGAAGGAGGACAAGGGACGAGTGGTGTAACGGGGTCGTACTCTTACAGGGTTGGTGCTGGTGCCCTGGAGCAGCAGCAATCGCCGCAATCGCAGCCGCCACAGTCGCAGCCGCCGCAGCAGCAGCAGCAGCTGTGGGCTTGTCTCCCGCCTGGGTGGACAGGAGCCCCTGGAGGTGGTGTTCGTGGTGGTGGCCCTCGTAGCTCGGCGTCCACCGGCAGCTTCCGTGCTGTGAGCTGCCAGTACCAGCTTCAGACCGGGCCCCTGCATGCCAGGGTGTGCCGCCGCTCGACCCCACCGCCCGCTGCTTCCGCCGCCTCGACGACCTCTTCCGTCGCCGCTTTGGTCCCGCCCCGTACCTCCCTGATTGGCCCAGCCTGCTGCGCCACGGTGTGCCTGTGTTTGACTTAGACATGGATCAGATTAGTTCTGCCATGCATTCTCTGTATGCTGACGCTTCGAGTGTTTCCGGATCGTATTACTCAGTGTTCTCTAGCTTAGGCGTAGCACATGTATGTAGTCCAGACTCCCCTGCTACGTCAGGCGTAGGACAACTTGCGGTGTCTAGCCTAGGCTCTACCCTTGCTCCTCCATCATTGTCCACTACGGCGTCGCTGTCCTTCACTCTAGCCTCCAGTGCGTCAATCAGTTTCTTCCACGACCACGCCGCCCTCGCGCCACTTGCTGCGCCTGCCGCTGTCGCCCTTGCTGACCCCTCCTCTGGTCCTGTAGTTGCTCGCAGCTATACTACCCTTCCCTGTCCGGCGGTTCCCTCGGGCTCCCTTACAGGCCTGCACATCCCTTCGTTCTCCAAGAACTTAGTTGGGGTCGGCTGTCTTCAGGACCTTGGCGTCACCACTACGTTCCCTGGTCACGAGCGGTACGCGATGTGTTCCGAGGCCGCCTCAGGTGCCCCCCTTGCGACGTTCCCCCGGGACCCTGAGTCTGGCCTGTTTACGCTGGACACTACTCCCCCCCCGGCGGGTGAGTTCTCCTCCACTTCTGCAACCACCCAGGTAGCTGCGGCCTGCTCGTGTCGGTCGCTCACTCACCCGTCACTGTTGTGGCACAACCGCCTAGGTCACCCCACGCTCCCCCGCCTGCGTCACATGTCTCAGCACGGTCTAGTCCTCGGCCTCCCTGCATCGCTCCCTGCTCCCCCTCCCTCGCCTGCACCGCCGTACACGCCCTGCGTCGAGGGCCGGCTGCGCCGTGCTCCTCACTCCTCCTCACTTCGCCCTGCCACTGCACCCATTTAGACCCTGCACTTGGACGTCTGGGCCCAGCCCCTGTCCCTGGACCACGTCGCGAGCGCTACTTTCTGGTGCTCGTTGACGACTTCACGCGCTACACCACGGTGTTTCCCCTGGAGCGGAAGGCCAATGTGCCTGACATTCTTATCCCGTGGCTCGTCGCTGCGCGCCTCCACCTCAGTCTTCCTGTGCTGTGTCTCCACTCCGACCGTGGCGGCGAGTTCGCCTCTGGTCGGCTGGGTCAGTTCTGTTGTGCGGAGGGCATCACCCAGATGTACACCCTACCGGACTCCCAGCAGCAGAATGGGGTCGCTGAGCGACGCATCGGTTTGGTCATGGAGGTGGCTCGTACCTCCATGATCCATGCCGGTGCACCCCATATTCTGTGGCCGTTCGCCGTTCGCTACGCCGCTCACCAGGTTAACCTCCGGCCTCGCTCTCAACGGCCGCAGGTTTTGCCGACCCTTCTTTGGACTGGGTTCCCTGGTGACGCTTCTGCGTTCCACGTCTGGGGCTGCCTCGCTCACGTTCGTGCCTCCGGCACAGACAAGCTCACTGCCCGCACTCTCCCCTGTGTCTTCCTCGGTTTCCCCGTTGACTCGTCTGACTGGCGCTTCTACCACCCGTCGTCTCACCGCTTCATTCACTCCCGTGACGTTATTTTCAAAGATTCTGTCTCCTTTTTCCACCGCTTTCCTCACCGGGGTCTCCCGGTTTCCCCCCTCTGTTTCTGGTTCCCACGCCCCGGTCGCCCCTGCTCCCCTCCCCTCTTGCTCCGTCTGGTGTGTCTCACGTCACTCCCCTCCCGTCCGTTGTCTCGGTCGACGAGTCAGCTGACTCCGGTGGCCCCGCGGCGCAGTTTGCGCCACCTGTCCCTCCCCCGGTATCTCCTCCTCCCTCGTCGCAGTTGCTGCCGCAGCCGCCGCCGTCACCGCCGCCGCAGCCGCAGTCGTCGTCGCGGCCGCAGCTGTTCGTGGACTCTAGGGGTGCTGGAGTTGGAGAGGGTGCTAGTCCTGGGGCTCCTGTCGTGGCTTGTCCCGGCGGGCTCGGGGGTGGCACCGGCGCTGGAGACGTTTCTCGTTCTGGGGGTGCTGGCGTGGAGTGTACCGGAGGTAGCAGTGGTGCAGCTGGTGGCCCAGGTGTCGGCGTTCAGCAGCAGCAGCAGCACTCGTCGCCGGTGTAAGCCCTTCGCCTGCTCGACCTTCCCTCTCTTGTCTGCTCGCCTGCGCCTCCCTCGCCGTCTCCCCCTCTTC